TACTACAAATTTTTATTAATGATAGAATAAGAAAATCAATATGTATAACAATAGAATATTATCAATATTTCATATAATAATAGAATATTAATTTAATCTATTTTGAACTGAAATGGAACTAATCAGTTTCCCACTAAATTAAGTTCTTGAATTCTCAGGATGATCAACTATTGATGCTGTAAATTAGCCTTACTGCATCTAGCAAAGCTTAACATATAATTTTGCATGTGCCCATGAAAAGCCATAAGTGATGAATGAGTGTGCTGATTTGGATTTGCAATGGTATGCCATGCGTATGGAGGGATTTAGGGTTAGAGTAGTTCTTCTTCATAAGGATGCCAGCAAAATTAACATTTGATCTGCAAGATTAGGTTAGATTATTTCTTTCTCTCTAAAGAGTTCAATTCAAACTTATTAATTGGAATTTAAATGTTTATATAGACTATTCAATTTGTAATATTGAGTTATGAAAGAGGGAGTATATGGTCCTCATATATTTGAAGGACCTCCTGGTGTGGAAAATAGAACCATGATCTGGGCTATGCTTTAAGAGGTTTTTGCTTCTGACATAAGTCAGATATATTGTGTATTTCTATTTCAAATCCATGGTAATTGTTATACATCTTACAATTGTAAGTGCATTATTGTTAGTTGTTTATATTAGTTGGATTTTCTTTGATACGTTTGTCATATATTTTAGGCAGCATTTTCTTTTTCAATTTTTATAAATTTTCTCCAAGACCCTGCGGTTAATCTAGCTACAAAGAACTGGGATTGAGATCTCTTATAACCAATTAGAAAAACTGTGCAGCTTAGCTACTCAAAATGGTATGCTTGACGTTTTTAACCCCCAATTTCTTTTTTTCCCATTTTGATCTTGAGTTGCATAATAGTAGACAAACCTCTCCAATCCTATAACCCGCCTCACCTAATGCTATGCGATTCAAATTTAGAACCTCTTACTTTCATTAAAAGAAGAATACTACTAAACTATTTAGATCATTGACTTTTTCCCCAATTTTAGGTTTGGAATAAGATATGCTTATTAAAATAATAAAATATATAGTTTCTTTCAATGTATGTAAAGAGAATGATGTAGAGGATAATTGACAATGTTCGTATCTGTCTGGCCTCCATTTTATTCTGCTAAAAGCTCTAAGTGGTTAAAATTTCAATAGAAAATCCTTCATATTAGAAATTGCTCTTTAGTGTTCAATCTTCACTTAGAGAAAATGCAATTGGTTTTAAATGACCCATCTGGATCCAACCTAACCACCCACTCGCGTGTTTAACTTGGGGTTAGCTTGCTGGCGGAGACAAGGGGGCCTGAGGTGGCACAGGCCCCATCTAAACTTTTGTAAAAAATTTAGTTTAGTCCCTTATGTTTTATTTTTATCTTTTTTATTCTTAATTTTTTCACATCATTTTAATCATATTCTAATATTTGTATTATTGAAGATTACTTTAGGTGATAGTGTGAAAGACTAGAAAATTAAATCTAATATGAGATATAAGAAAAATTAAAAAATAATTAAAGAAAAATTATTCATCCTCATCTTTTTATAAAGTATTTGTTTTCTTTTACTTAACATATGTTAATTTTTATTTTTCAACTAATAATGTTTATACTAGGTTATCAACTACTATTAATTTATCATTAAAGACAAATAAATGTTATTCATTAATTTTTTTTTTCAAATTAACACAAAATAATTATTTTTTAATCAAAATTTCATTCTAACCCGTAAAAATATTTTCTGGCTCCACCGCCAGGTTAGTTGACAGAAAGTCAAAAGATTCCACCCAAAAAATTGTTGCTTTCCTCGCGCACGCATTGATAATATCTAAAATAATATGAAGAGATAAAATAACCATTTCTTTTTCCTTTGTCTTTTTTCTTTAATTTTATCTTTTTAAAAAGTTAAATAGTAAATACATTTAATATCATTCAAATGAATAAAAAAATTAATTATTTAAATATTACATAAAATTATATAAAATGTAATGTAAAAAAATTATTCTTAAATTTTTTTTAAAAAATTTTTTAGTGCCAGTTTATTTCCACGTAATTTTTTGAATTATAAACTAAAAATTTCGCAATGGCACCTTATGCTTAACTAAGGAAAAGATAAAAAAATATATTTTTTCAAATTAAGGAATTAAAAGAATACATTAAAATTAAAAAATAAAAAATTATGTAAGATATTAAAATTAAAGAATTAAAATTAATATTTAACAAAAAAAATAGAGGGACTGATATACAGAACTTTGTCAGTAGAGGGGCAGCTTAAACAGCCGTCCATTTCATTTTATATCATTTCCCATTGCATCTCCCCCAAAACGACCGGGTTTTAATTTTTCAACTTTTCAAAAAAACTTTCAAGCACAATTCGACATTCTATTTCATTCCAATTTCACTTTCTACTTCTCTCTGGAACTCCTCGCCAAACGTTTGGTCTTCGGTATGTATCTCAAGAACCTCCTTAGCGAGACTTGAATGGCTGTTCAAGTTAAACTGTATCTCCAACTACAACTCTGTCTTAGATTTTTCAATCCGTTAAGTTCTTTCTTTGCCCTGACTTGCATCTGATCAGTAAGTTTCTTGGGTATAATCATCTTCACTTTCAGATTTATACAGATTTGCAATAAAAAATAATATCAACATTTTTGAATTTGATGTATATATAGCCACTTTTTTTTTTAAAAAAAAAATTTCGCCATCATTGTATTATGTAGCCACTTATCAATCTGCACAAAATCTCTGATGATCTTATTCTTTCGTTACATATTTCGCTGATACATATACATTCTTTGATCCATATATAGCTCGGGAAATGGCAGCTGCACTTGTTCCCTCAATCTTGGACCTAATAGAAAGAGTTGTAACTGGAGCAATATTGGAAGAGGTGAGGCTGGGGGGAGATTCTCTAAATAAACTCCAAAGGCTTAGGAACAACCTTTTAGCCTTAAATGCTATCCTTGAGGATGCAGAGCAAAAGAGACGGACTGACAAAGATATTGAACTTTGGATAGATCGGCTTACAGATGCAGCTTATGATTTGGTGGATGTGTTGGAGGAGTGGATCATTACAACCAGAGTTGGAAAAACTTCTATTGTGAAGGCTAAGGTAGGCTCCTACATCACCCACTGTTTACATACCGCCCAAGTTGTTAGGCGTGATGATCTTGCTTTCAAATTAAAGGAAATCAGTGACAGGCTAGATGTGATTGCCAATGAAAGAAATATGTTTTTCTTAGTATCAAGATCTGCGTCTCAACACAGCAGACGGATTGAGAGTACAGCTCTTGTTGATGCGTCAGCTATAATTGGTCGAGATGAGGTTAAGGGAGACATTGTAAGCAGTTTGTTGTCTGCATCTACTGAACAACTTAAGACAATTTCTGTTGTTGGCATGGGTGGGGTGGGAAAGACAGCTATTGCTCAACTTGTTTACCAGGATGAGGTGGTTAAGCAGCATTTTGATCATAGAATATGGGTTCGTGTCTCAGAAGTATTTGACAAGAAGAATGTTGCCAAAACAATAATTAAAGGAGTTGAGCATGTTAAAAGATTTGAAGGAGCGGACTCCCTTGATTCATTTCCACTTTCTGCCCTTCTTGATAGAATTGGTGGATCTATCCACGGAAAGAAATTTTTTCTTGTGTTGGATGATGTGTGGGCAGATGACATGCGACAGTGGAAAGGACTGATCCAGACTTTCCAACTTGGTGCCCCAGGGAGTAGGATTTTGTTAACTACTCGTATGGGTACAGTGGCAAACATGATGGACTCTCATGTCATTCATTTAGAACCGTTATCTGATGAACAATGTTGGATGGTACTTAGTCGAGAAGCATTTTCTGGAAGGGGTGTTAAACAGTGTGGGGATTTAGAGGATATTGGGAAGAGAATTTCAAACAAGTGTCATGGCTTGCCTCTTGCTGCAAAGATTCTGGGAGCTCTCCTAAGATTTAAGAGCAGTAGAAGAAAGTGGGAAGATATTTTGTACAGTAAAATCTGGGAGTTAGAGGTTGCACATCAAGAGATTTTTGTTCCTCTGTTGTTGAGTTATTATGATTTGCCTTTGCCACTGAAAGAATGTTTCAATTACTGTGCTGTTTTGCCAAAAGATTTTGTATACAATGGAGAAACAATAATATACCACTGGATGGCACAAGGTTACTTAGGATGGGACATTATTGAAGATTTAGAATTGAAAGGACGAAAGTACATTAGCTACTTAGCAGCTCGCTCTTTCTTCCAAGATTTTCTGATGGATAAAGATGGTCTAAAATCAACATGGAAGATGCATGACATTATGCATGACTTTGCCCGGTTTCTGATGATCAACAATGGAATTGTGATTGAGGTCATGAATCCAGGAGGCAATTCAATGATAGATTTGTCTTTCAGAAATGCTCGTTATTTGACAGCACGTATAGCCGAGGGACATTGTCTTTCTACTTCTATTTATGGTGCTGAAACGTTGCGTAGCCTTATGATCATTTCTGGAGAAAATGCAGTAACCAATGAAGTTATGCAAATCATTTTCAATCAAGCAAAACGGCTAAGGATGGTGGATTTTGGCTGCCGTAATACATTAAAGGATACAATTCCAAAAGAAATAGGGAATTTGATCCATTTGAAGCACCTTAACTTGAGTGGAAATGGTATAATAAAAGTACTGCCTGGATCATTGTGTAAATTACATAATCTTCAATATTTGAATCTAGACAACTGCGAATCTCTTCAGAATTTACCAAATGAGATAGGAAATTTGATCAACTTGATATATCTGGGGACTCTTCATTGCTACAGATTAGGCTGCTACCCCAAATCAGCTAGGAGATTAACAAATTTGAGGCAATTACGTGGGATCGTGCTCAGAGCTGATAGAAATGACCCTAAGGAATTTGCTCTTGGAGACCTGGAAAACCTGATCCACCTTCGTGAACTTTCCATGGTACTGAAAGGAAATGCAGTAAATGATAGAGAGCTTAAAAGAGCCAAATTTGAAAATAAGACACATTTAAAGGAAATCAAGATGGAGTGACAGGTACTCCTGTTTTTATTTTTAATTTTTTTGTTAAGGTTTTTTAATTTGTGGTACATGGAATGATGGAATATCTACAAGAATAGATAGCGCCTTCTTTTTTCAAATTTTTTTTTCACTTGATTTAAGGTTTGAACTTTAAACCTCCAATTGAATCAATCTCAAAATCTTAACCAATTCTCTCTAAGGGTTTTGAATCCATGTCATAAACTGTATACTTGTATTGAGATGAAATGATATTTAAGGTTGGAATGGATTTCATGTGAGGAAAAGAATTTCAAAATCCTATTTCATATTATTACCCTTTTTCATAAAAAATGTTATGATATTATTACTAACTTGTCATTTTAAATTGTCACCTAAGAGGCTGTTTTCTGAAATCCCTTTTCAAATTCTCCTGCATTCTCCCCTTCCTAAACCATACTCTCTCTTCAATTAGAGAAAAGAACATAATCTAAAAAAAGATTTTAAAACTCTTGCTGCATCTCAAATTTCTTACTAAAGTAGACTATTTCAACCAAATCCAACCTTAAAATACTAATTAAGCTAGAAGCTAAGTGCTAACCTTTCTTTCTATCATACACTTATTTCCATTGTTTCTTGATGATCATTATATCGATCCCCAATTCAAAGTTAACTATATTTGATATATTTTGTTTGGCCAACAATATTTCATTGCTTTTGTATATATATTTATGAAAAAGACTATGTTTATGTTTGTAGAAAGCATGAGGCATGATGACAGCCAAGTATGAAGTGAGAGCTAGTTCTGTTGGTGAAGAGGAGTGTCATTCTTGCTGAGATCAGAAGCTGCTGGTTAATGTCCAGCTATTAGTTTGTTGAATTGAATGTAATCTTGTGTGTAATTTTATTTTCTAAGCTATGCCATGCAACTTGTTATGTGATGATTGTGATCTTTAAGGGTTCTGAATGTTGTCTAGAGGAGCGTGAGTAGCTTTCTAGTTGTTCAACGTGATCAAAGGATTGAATATGTTGGGTATATATGTATTTGAATGAATGTTTCTTGGTGCTTGATGAGAAAGTGCATGTGCAGTGGATGTTCCAATATGCCTTCCTGGTGTGTTGTCTTTGGGCAGAAGAATAATCATGATGATGAGGGGTTCAGTGGCTGTCCCCAAACAGCCAACAATGGCGCCATGATGCATATAGGTAAATCAGGCACAAGGGCTGGGATCTCCCTTATGGCCTTGGAGAGCTAAAAGTTCCTCTATTTCTGATCCTATTTTTAGTGTATGTTTTTGTCCTTGTTGGATGCTTTTACCTGTGTGATGGACACATCTCAAGGTGGTTTAAGGGATGTACCATCTTTGGCTCGGTGGTTGATTTTAAATTATTGCCAGTAAAAGAAAGCATTGCTTGTCTGGTGCTCTCTCTTGGACTGCCTTGGTCTGCAGGTTTGGCTCACTTTGTGGCAGCTAAAAGGTTGGATGTCATAGAAATTAGCAAGACTTTTCAGCAATTCCTTTGGTGCTATCTAGCTTCATTCTGCCACACCGATCTCTGGGTGGTAGGTGTGCCAGTATTCAAGCTAATGGGCTGCTTGGATAGGAGGATGTCCTCCTGGATTCAACCAAGAGATTTGTTGTCCTCTTACTTATCCGTTTCTGGCTGCAGATTTAATTTTCTCTCCATCTCTGTTTTCTCTTGTTGAATGTTTCTTTTGGATTCGTCTGTGACTGTTTTAGGGACCAATTGGTCGCTATAGCATCACCTTAGAAGCTATACTTCCAACATATCATAATAGGCAATACCACTCATAAACAAATGTAAACAATTAAGTACAAGAAGCTACTCTAAACTATAAGATTACTAAGGTAATCACTTTAGGCATAATAATAACATGCTACAAAGTAAAAAGATTATCACTGTTAGCATATTGAACAACAGCACGGAAGTCTCTTCTATATTTTCAG